TAAAATAAGGAGATTGGAGTGGGCAGCCTCCAAGATCCCTTCTAGCTCTAAATTTCGAGGCAGTTAATCAATAACATAATCATTGGTAACAAAAATAATAATAACTGGTATTCATGGAGCACTTTAAGGTTTACAGAACATTTTACATATGTTACCTCATTGATCCTGACCACCCTGTGAGATAGCTAATATCATTAACCCCATTTTAAAGATGATTAAAATGGGGCTAAGAGCAGTGAACTGACTTGGCCAGAGTCACACAACTAGTAAGTGCCTGAGGCAGGATTTGAATTCAGGTCTTAAGAACATATATCTAGAGCAAGAAGGGATCTCTAGTCCAGCACCTTAATTTTACATAGTGGGAAACTGAGGCCCTGGTAGATTAAATGACTTACCCAAGGTCACACAGGCAGGGGTAGGATTTGAACTCAGGTCCTCTGACTCTGGAGCCAGGGCTCTTTCTGCTCTACCAGTCTTTCTAACTCCAAATTGATCTCTCTCTTTGCATCTACATACAGCCTACACCAGGAAGGGGGTTGTTTGGATTTGTTGTCTGTGACTAGATCTCCCTTTCTTGCCCAGGCTAGAGGTACAGTGAACACCGACGGAGTCGACCCCAGTGATGATCAGCTTTGGCCCATTTCTAACCTGAGCCAATTCATCTCTCCTTCGGCAATCAGTCAGTCAATAAACATTTATTAAATGGAAATGTTTTACATGATTGCACATGTATAACCTACGTCAGATTGCTTACCACCTCAGGGGACAGAGAGAGGGATAGAATTTGGAACTCAAAACTTTAAAAAAATTTTTTTAATTGTTTTTATATGTAATTGGGGGAAAAATTATTAAAAATAAAAATAAGCATTTATTAAGCACCAACTATGTGCCAGGCACTGTCCTGAGTGCTTAGGGCTACAAAGAAAGGTAAAGCATACCTCCTACACTTAAGAAAGTCATAATCCAATGGGGGACACAACATGACAGTAACAGTATAAATAAGCTACTCCTTAGGCAGCCTGGTGCCCCCCAACTCCTGGGAGCTCATCATAATGGTGCCAGATTTAGTGCAGACACTCAATCAGCTTAGCACACTGCAGCTCAGAACTCCTGAGCTCATGCAGTCCACCAGTAGCAAGATTACTGCTACTATGAACACCCAGCCACCATATATAGTTGTATCCCAAAGAAGAATGTCTTGAAGAAGGGAATGTTTCCTTTTTGTCCTTATATGCATACAGCCAACTGGCTGCCACATAGAGGGCTCCTAATAAACACTTATTGAACCAAATCTTTGTACTGAATAAGGTAGAATCCTGAAGACAGACATGTTCTCTTAAAAACAAAGAATTCCTCAGTCTTTCTTAAGGGTAACTTTAATGGAAAGGCTTAGACTTTGTTCATAATAAGTAAAAATTAAAATGTAACTCATTTCAAATTCAACAAACAGGTATTAAGTTCCTATTATCTTGAAGCCCTCTGCTAGGTGATAGGAGAAACAAAGTCAAAAAAATGAAAATAGTCACTACCCTCAAGGACTCACACTCTATTGGAAGGTACAAGATGTACACAGATAAGTAAATAATGGGGGATAGGGGTGGTATTGATGGAAAGTTGGAGAAAGTTGGCTGTACCTTACAACAGGAGATCAGCATCCTTATGTGGCTGGTGGTCTCAGAAACACCCCCTGACTCCCCCTGCTGCCTCCCACCACCTGCAGCTGTCTCACCTGGGAGGAATCCTGACGCCATTGTCCAGTTGCAAGAGATTATTGGCATGTTTGGAAACTTGCAGCTCATTTTCCCAGGAATCTGGTTCCTGTTTCCTATACGGAGATTTTGAATTAAGGACGGCATCACAAGCAATTGTTACCTGCAAGAGAAACCAGGGTATGATCTATAAAAACCATTAGCTTACAAAAGGGAAAGTGAAAATCTTGTTGATAAATGCCCATTAGATCCAATAAAAACCCAAAGCAGCTGAGTAATACAGCACCTCCTACATGAGGCCTTCCCTGTTTCCCCTAGTCTTTGGGGTCCTCTGCCCTTGTTCCCAAGGAGTTGTTGTTATTGTTATTGTTGTTGTTGCTGTTCAGCTGTGTCCAGTTCTTTGTGACCCCATTTGGGATTTTCTTTGCAGAGATGCTGGAGTGGTTTGCCATTTCCTTCTCCAGCTCTTTAAAGACGAGGAAACTAAGGCAAACAGAATTAAGTGACTTGCAGGGGATTACTTTATATTTATTATTAAGAGACAGGATGGTGTGATGGATAGAGTGCTGTACTTGTAGTCAGAAAACCCTAAGTTCAAATCTTGCCTAAAATACTTAGTAGCTGTGTGATCCCGGAAAAGTCACTTTTCTGGGTCTCGGCTTCCTCAACTGTATAAAATGGGGGAGCTGGAGTAGCCAATCCCCAAGCTCTAAATTGAGAAGTCATCAATTAATGAACAACAACTGATTAAAGCACTTCTATGTGCCCCACACAGTGCTAGGCACCAAGGGCACAAAGCCTCTGCCCTCGAGGAGCTTAGATCCTAATGGATAAGAATTGTATTATCTAAGTATTTAATGCAAAATGAATACAAGGTAACTTGAGGAAGGAGGGACCTAACAGTTGGGGGCATCAGAGAAGTGCTGCTCATTGAGTTGAGGCCTGAGGGAAATCAGGGATTCTAAGACATGGGTGGAGATAAGGAAAGAGAGCATTCCAGGCATGGGGAAGAGCCCATGCAAAGTCATGGAGACAGGAGATAGAGTGTTGTGTGTATGAAACACAGAGTAGGCGAGTGTAGCTAAATCATAGAGTGTGTGGATCATAAAAGAGTGTAAGAAGGCTAGAAAAAATTAGAAGGGGTCGAACTGAGAAGAATTTTCAAGGTCAAAGAGGAATTTGTATTTGATCCTGAGAGGAAGCCATAGAATTTATTGACTAGAAGGGGGTGACTTGGTCAGGTTGTGCTTTGGGAAAATCACTTTGGTGTCTGAGTGGGGGATGGATTTGAGTGGGGAGAGGCTTCAGGAAAAGAGACCAACCAGAAAGCTATTGCAATAGTCCAGAAGACAGGTGATGGGAGCCGGTAGGAGAGTGTTGATTGTGTGACTGGATAAAATGGCACCTAGGTGAGGGGGAGTCCCGATGAACAGCATACACCATGCCCAAGTTGGTCAGTTCTCACCATTGGCCTCTTTTCATAAGTTCAAGGCCAGTCTTTGCCCCATCTCATTTTGCCCTGGGCAGCAGGCACTACACAACTAATGACCAGAGTGAAAAGGAAAACAGGCAATTCTCAGATTTACCAAGTGAACCAGGCTCCTCCCTCTCAACTGACCTAGATCTTGTTTCCAGCATTCAGAACAGTTTCCTAAACTTGCCCCAAGCAATCAACACATGCTCTCAATCACACTGAGACTGGAATGTTCGGCCATGATTCCAGTTCTTAACGGGTACAAATGTGACCCTGGATAGAGGCACTCATCCCTGGTCCCTTCACACCCTACGCAGCCAATGGTCCCATCAGGCCGGGGAAGGATAGCTTGGCACTAACCCATGGGGCTTCTGATCTTTGCCTCTACTGCTCCAAAAAGGACACCTCATTAGTCAGATCACAGCTCCCACCATATGCCAGAAAAGACCGCATTATGTCAAACAAACCAAAAATTCTAATTTGCTAGAAACCTTAATAACATAATTACAAAAAAATAAAATAAAATAAAAAGAACATAATTACACTTCTCTCAAACATCCCTCTCTTTCCTGAACTCCCATGGCACTTACAGTGCCTCTCACCACACCATGTGGCACTGACATCATTTCCTATTTCATGAGTGCTAAGGGTAGTGGTGTAATGAAAAGTGCAGACTTTGGGGGCAGAAGACTTAGATTTGAATCAATTTTTAATATTACTTTTCCCATTGTGGGTCCGAGTTTCCTAATCTGGAAAATTATATCCTTTCTAACGCTCAATCTATGGTCTTAAACACTAAATTCTAAGTTCCCCAAGGGTAGTCTTCCAATCTTCCAGTTTTCCTGTATTCCCTAAAGCACCTAATTCAATTCAGTACGTTTTTATTTAAAGCATCTACTGTGCTAGGCACTGAGAATTCAAGGAAAACCGTGATAACAGTCCCTACCCTTAAGAAGTTTATATGCTGCTGGGCATGATGGGGCATACTTGTAATCCCAGCTGCCAGGGAGGCTGAGACTAGTAGATCAGTTGAGCTTGGGAGTTCTGAGCTGCAGGAGGGCTAAAGCCACCCAGGTGTCTGCACTAAGTCTGGCACCAATATGGTGATCCCCAGAGAGCCCAAGGAAGGGCAAACCAGTCCAGGTCAGAGATGGAGCTGGCCCGAGCTTCCATGCCAATCGGTAGTAGAATCAGTCTGAGTGGTCCCTGCACTTCCAGCCTGGTGAGATAGGGAGACCCATTCTCAAAAATAAATAAAATAAAATCATTTTTTAAAGAAGTTTATATGCTATTGGAGGATATTGAAGGTAAGTAATACCAATTAATTGATAAAAACCTACCATTTTGACCCAAATCGAGGCTCTATCCATCTTTCCCTTATGAGGCAGTGGACAGAGTGCTGGCTCTGGAGTCAGGAAGACCTGAGTTCAAATCCAGCTTCAGGCACTTACCAGCTGTATGACCCTGGACAAGTTACCTGTAAAATGGAGATAATAACAGCACCTACCTCTAAGGGTTGTTAGCATAGTTCCTAGTACATAGTAGGTACTATATAAATGTTTTCCCCTGTCTGCTGCCTTTCTCTGTCAAAGGTCAAAAAGGCCATTGTGCAAAAAAGCATGGTTGTCATTCCCCTGGACATGGACACTTTAGCTTTCCTTATTAACCCATTATTGAGAGGCTATTCATTAATTCTTAGGTTTTTAAAAAGATATCTATTTTTTTCTATATCATCTTGAGATAAGAAATTTCATAAGATGCCCATCTACTAATATGAATTCCATCTTCCTTTCAACTCTTCTAACTGTTTTTCAAGCCTTTGAAAGTGCCCTATAGCTTAAGTCTATGACTTCCAACATCCTTTCCTACTCTAAATCTATGATCGTATGGTCTTGAACACTGGATTAGTGAGTCCATGTTCACCTACAAATACCCTCCATTACATTTCCTGGACTCATTATCCTCACCATCCTGACTTCGCAGCTTCCCCCTTCCAAGATTTTCCCTTCCTTCCCCTTTCCTCCCTCAGGCTTTCCACCTCCCTTTCAAAAATTGTCTTCCCCCATCAGAACTCAAGGCCCTAGAGGGCAGAGACCATCTGGTTTGCTTCTCTTTGCATCCCCAGAACTTAGCCCGGTGTCTGACGTCTTGTGAATATTTAATAAATGCTATCTAGATAGATAGACAGACAGACAAACAGACATATAGATAGATAGATAGATAGATAGATAGATAGATAGATAGATAGATA